AAAGAGAATCAATAATTCTTGTATCTAAAATTTCCCCCTCTGAAGATGCAACCAGAAAGAGAATGGAACTAAACCTCGTTCATGACGCGAGATTGGCGCTCACAAATACAAAATCAAACAACGGGGACAACCTAGAGAAAATTCATAATTCTTATCATGTCCCATTAGGATCATCGGGGCATCATAGATACTGAAACCATAGCAACAATAGGTGTTTCTGGTAGAGTCCGTCCCTTTCAAGGTTGGTTTTGAATTCAGAGTTTGTGCAATATTGATGCAGTTTTCTTATTTGCCGTTTGAATACAGGTTTACAAATGGTACTGCTGACAAAAGATAGCGGAAAGTGACCATACTATATTCGGTTTACAAGCTCTATTCACGTTGCAAATTTTACATACATCCACGAATTATATAGGTAAACGATACATAATTTATATATATATATATAGCAAGCTAAGTGAATAATAATCCAACCTTTAGAAAGAGAGCTATTTATGTTGCCATGGAGCATCTCATTGTGCTAAAGTGGGATAGTCCATTGCTTGGGCTGTGATTGGCTGCTGGTACCTGAGTGGAGGTATTTCTATATAAATACCAGCTTGATTCATCAGTTAGTTTGCAGGGTTTGTATTAAGTTACAACCTGCTTTATTTTTTCTGCCAGCTGGACGCTAGCTGGGACCTTTTACGCCGGTAAGTGCTGTTTATTATTGTTATTCTACAATATATATATATATATATATATATATATATATATATATAAAGACATTTTTATGTTACGAAATACATTCTTTTTTATAGATACAAATATTTTTGAAAAGTTAAATGCTCTGTTTTATAATAAAAAAGAATGTATAAACATAAAATAACTTAAAAATAAGAAAAAAAATGCCCGGACTTTATAGCAAGCGAAGGAATTTCATAATATATATATATATATATATATATATATATATATATATATATATATATTAAAAGAAAAACAGACCACTTTAAGGTTCCATTATAATAATTTATTTTTGCTGGTCAGAGCCCTTTTAAGGACGCCGAATCATCAGATAGCACAGTGGCGAAACCAAAAGATGAAATTGAAAATTGATGGGTAGTGTAAGTTTTTTTTTGTAATTTAACAGAGAATGTAATAATCAGTGGTTAGACAAGACACAACAACAGAGTTAATGAGAGGGTTTAATTTAATATTTCTCTCTATCATACTTAGTATTGGGGGAGGAGGAGTGACCAGACCTTGACCTATTTAAATAGGCATTTGCATAACTATTATGCAATCTCTAATCAATTGCTTTGACTTACACAAAAAATGCCATACAAATAAGCACTTTATTTTTTGTATCATTTAAAATCCAAGCAAGGCAATAAAGCCACTAAGAAGCAAGGGGATTACATAGAGTGAAAGAAACAGAGAGGATTCAAAGAAACAGACGATTGACATTGCATTTTTTGAATATCGTAGTTGACAGGAAAGCAGGAAACCTGAAGAGAATTCCACTAGCAAGAAGTGCAATAGAAGAAACTATTAACATAGAACTTACGGTCGTAACTAACGATTTCAACAGTGAAACTATGAGGCCTTCTTCCCAAGCTATTAATGCGCTTAAATTCGTGAAGTCGATATACCAACGAGGAAAGCTTATCAGAACAATTACTGTGGAAATATTTATCGAAAGAGCAGAGAGAAGCTATGTTACGTTAGTGAGAAAGTAAATGAAGCCGAGATGCCAGGTTAGGACCGATAACTCTCTTTGGACTTGATCAATAATCTCCAGATATTTAGCAGGAGCACATGATGAGATATGGCATCAATATTCGACATACAGTCGAAGAGTAGACTTATAAATGCGCAAAATAGATTCTAGTGAGAAACATTATGTAGTATGACATAGTGACCCAACATTCCTAGCATCAGATTTAGCAATTGATTCAGTATAATTATACCACATGTGCGAGGCGTGGAAAACGTGTTTTACTCAGGAGGTCTCCGTGGGGACGCAGCTTCTATTTGGTTGCTTTCCACTGGAGGTTACCATCAGCCATGCAGATGAAGGCAAGAAGTCGCCCGGTTTTTTTGCCCTATGAATTTGTACTGAGGCTGTTAATCTTTTGAAAGCAGTTTCGTTTCAGAGCCGTTAGAATTAACAAGCCATTTCTAAACACAGAGTTAAAGATTAACAATCCTGCGGATTGAATGTCATTTTCGGGATCAACTGAGGGGCCAAACTGATGACAACCTCACGCGCGATATGAGGGCGTAAAAGACGAACGTGTATACACGTATATCCGACCATCGGGTTGGATGCTTTGAATAACTGGTACGACGCTGATCCTGTATCGCTTTTTCCTCCATGGCGTGAGGTTCGGACGGGTCACTTCGTCAGGTTGTCCGCCGTCGCCCTCCAGCCTGACCCAGCGGCTGAAGATATCCGACTAACATTTTATATGCATTGCTCTTTGAACCGAAATGTCAAAATGTAAAAATACTCATTGCCCCCAATTCAATAAATTTTGAATATTACATTTGCAATTCATAAATGTGCTTTTTTATGTTCGTTGAAGAAAACAACCCCGTGAGAAAAAGCAGCAGCATAAGAGAAATAGATAGATAGATAGATAGATAGATAGATAGATAGATAGATGAACAGACGATAAATATATATATAGAGAGAGAGAGAATGAAAGATAGGTACCTATGAATAGATAGATAGATAGATAGATAGATAGATAGATAGAGAGAGAGAGAGAGATCAGAAAATTCAAATAGAAAAACTGTGAAATTTTCACTGGTCTTTCTAGTGATTTTTATTATTACTACTTATCTGCCTGACCCGCTAAAAAACAAATAGGAAAGAAGGCCCGTTTATGATAGATAGATAGATAGATAGATAGATAGATAGATAGATAGATAGATGTTTATATTAACAGAGTGTAATAGATATGAACGATTGAGAAAAATATTAAAAACCGACATAGAAATGAACATTAGAAGGATATATAGAGATAGATTAGATAGAAACAGACCTGAGGCCTGAGATAGATAGATTTGTACTTGAATAATACCCGTCAAAACCACTACGATAAGTAATGTACTGATTGGCACCCCTGTATTGAATCAAAATATCTGTGCGCTTTTCTTAGAACCACTTGGTATCCTCCATCAAATGACCATCACTATAGTATCTGTGCTCTCTGGGAAAACAGTTCAAATATATATATATATATATATATATATATATATATATATATATATATATATATATTAAGCGTTTTTGGTAGGTTCCCCAGTGGAGCAAAGTGGTCAAAAGCCATTTAGGACGCATAGGGGTTACAGAAAATTTAGAAGCAAGATCAGATAACCTATATAAGAAGAAAGGATGAGTGTAGTGGATAGATCAAGGCAACTGGAGATGTTGATTGACATTACATTTTTGTCTTGAATAGCTGGAGCTATTATATTGCTCACAGGGAAACAGGAAAGGAAGGAGTTCCACAGCTAAACAAATGCTCTGGGTATATGTAGTTGACACTTTGAAGCTATTAGGAGTATATAAAAGACGGCTACATTTAGGAGTTTCGACAATAAAGGGGGAGAGTTGGGATGCCAGCCTTGTAAGGCGCTGGAACTCATGACGTTTGGGAACCAGCGAATGCAGATTTGAGGGCAAATTTTCATGAAAGTATTTTTCAGTAGGAACAGACAGAGGAGGCGACGGCGCGTCTGTGAGAAAGTGACTGCAGATTTAGACGCCAAATAAGGGCCATTTTTACATTTGCATATCCGCCTCTGGAGCCTATCAAGAACCCCTGAGGCAAACAGAAGGGCACCAGACCATATATGGCAGCAATACTCCATGCAAAAGGGCGAATTGTTGATTTGTAGATCTGGAGGATCGACTCGGGAGAAAAAACTTCCTGGCGCGGCTCAGGGAGCCAACTTGCCTTGCAAGGCAATTGACTCACTGTATTTATCCATCTCAGGTCAGCAGTCATATATATATATATATATATATATATATATAGTTCCAAAATTTGAAGTGTGCCCCAGAATTAGCATGGGATGTACTTGACAGAAGAGTGAAAAAAAAAAAGGAAACGAGCTCTTAGATCCATTGAAAAAAGAATGGAATCAATTATCAAACTTTTACTTTGAGAGTCTTTTGCCACGAAAGCCAAAAATTTGTGTTGCTGTAATCGAGGCTAAAGGAGGATATTTTGACGAGAGCAATGGTATGAATCCCTCTCACCTCCTCCCAGCTATAGGTTAAATAGCTAAGCTCTCTGTTCTTGAGGTGGCAATCAGTCTAGGAGGTTTACGGCTACATCATGTTGAAACACCGCTTCCCGTACGATCACCGAAGTTAAGCAACGTCGTACTTGGTCAGTACCTAGAGAGATAACCGCTTAGGAATACCAGATGTAAGCTTGGATATGTGAATAATGTAATGGATACTGGCTTGAAATTGTTATACGGAGAGCTGAGTTCTATTTCCAGTAGGGTTCTTTATATTGACTTTCGTGCAAATACCCTTGGGAAAGTTTCGAATCTACCCCAACTGCGAGTTAATTAGTAAGACATATCTCTGTGCAACCGTACTCTTCATCCCAGGCATACGGCCATATCATGTTGAAACAGCAGTTCTCGTACGATCACCGAAGTTAAGCTACGCCGATTGATTGATGATTTAAACCTTTTCCAAGCCATGCCACCATTATAAATAATAGTACACATAGGGTAGGCTATTTTCTGAGTGTTGTTATCCTCTTGTAACCTTCTATCCCAGTTTGTAGGAGCCGCTGCCATGTACCCAGGGTAGTTGTTACATTGAAGGGAATTTCGTATACGATCACCATTTCTTGATTGGCACTACATTGGGAATTTTTTTTTTTTTTATTTCTTTAACTTTTTAATATCTATTCCAGTGGATTTTGCGAAAAGAAATGCCATTTCCATTCAGGACCCTAGGTGATCATGACTTTCCGCACATTCATTTCTCGTACGATCACTGAAGTTAAGCAACGTCGAGGCTGGTCAGTACCTAAGTGGGTGACCGCTTGGGAATACCAGGTGCTGCCAGTTTGGATGCGTAATGGATAACAGCTCCGAATTGAAAATCGGAGAGCTAAGTTCCAATTCCAGTTGGGTTCGTTATATTCATTTACGCGCAAATACCCTTGGGAAAGGCATGAATCCAACTCAGCTGCAGGTTAATTAGTAAGACTTCTTTCACTAAAACCGTTATTATCCCCACCCAAAAATAAATAAATAAATTAAATTAAATAAAATTTCCGTAAAAATATTTAGATTTCGGCATTAAATAACCTATAGAGATTAAAGAAGGCCTAAACGTCGTGAATATGGCAATAAAGATGTGGACAATAGTCCGAACAATGTAATAATATAGGTAACACGCTATTACGTCTGTCCTATTTGTTACAGATTTAAAATTAAAATTTAAATGCTTTTTTTTTTTTTTTGACTCGCTGGTGTATAAATTATGGAGCATACGCTTGGACGGAGTTTATTCGTCTAGAAAGGTTATGAAGTCAATAGACAAAGTAAGTTGGAGTTCTCTAAAGCAGTGGTCCTCAATTGGTGCAGCTCGCCCCATAGGTGCGGAGGAAGAGGATAGCAGGTGAGGCAGAATGATTGAAAGACAAAGATTTAAAAACTGTGTCAAAAAATTAATATGCCAAAAATAATTATGATTTAAAAATTTAAAATATTATGCTTACTTGTAATTGCATGTACAAATCCCAGGATAAATAGTTATAAATAATTAATGATTTTTTTTTTTTCATTGTGATATTTTTGCATTATATCAAGTAAGAATATAGTAACTAGTGTCCTCAAATTGGAGGAGAGAGTCATCAATAATAATGTTCTATCTTCGAATCAACTGTTATCTCCCTTTAACCCTCTCTTTGGACCTTCTTTACCGTAGGGCTGCTTGTGCCTTTTCACCGGGACCTCTCTTTGTGCGAGCAAATTTTCATTCCGAAAATGCGCCCCAGAGAAAAAATGTTTGGTAAGCACTACTTTAAGGTGGTGCTTTGTGGTCCAACAATTTTTATGTTTCGGTAGCTTTCATGAAAGACAACAGAAAGACTTTAGGCTTTTTTTTTTCTTTTTTTGGGATGGGGGGTAAGGAAAACTTCCATGGCAAAAGTTCAGATGATCTCCATTCTTTAGTTCCATCAATTCAGATCTTTATACCGAGGAAACGAAATGCCACTTCCACAGAATCGAAACACCTTTATTTCCTCAAATGTAATATGAAAGTTCTACTCTGACAGTTTTTTTGTTTTTGTTTTTGTTTTTGTTTTTTTTCGGAGAACTGCTAACTTGTGGTATAGACTTTACTGTGCATGCTTCTATGAACCCAACAATCTTAACCTTTTCAAGTCAAAGGTCACATGTTTTCTACCTTCTATATCCTAATATTTTTATTGGTTCCCCATGATTATGAATACATTTCCCATTATTGTTTCTCTAAGTACTTTTACCTTTCTGTCTTTTTTTTTAATCAAGTTAAGTCTTTACTTATTACGCTTACGCCCATATCACGTTGAAACACCGCTTCTCGTACGATCAACAAAAGTTAAGTAACGTCAAGCCTTGTTAGTACGTAGATGAGTGACCGCCTTTGGAATAGGCTTAAAAATCAAGCTCACTCAAGTGGAACGCCTATCCCATTGCTAAAAACGTTACATGAAAATGGTTGGTTCCTTCTGCTATGATTTACCTTTACAGGAGCCAGATCAGGACTTGGATGTGCGGATGGTGCAATGCATAACGGCTCAGAATCGGAAATCGGAGAGCCGAGTTCCAATTCCAATCAGGTCCGTTGTATTCACTTACGTTCAAATACCCTTGGGAAAAGTATAAATCCACCTCATTTCCCCCAGCTATGGGTTAATTGGTAAAACTTGGATCAGTAAAAATCATTATTATTTCCAAAAATATTTCTTACAATCTAAAACTATTTTTTGGTCTTAAATAATAGCTCAAAGGTTGATAAGCCGTAAAAAAAAAACAGATCAATCAATCAAATATTTACTTTCCCCTGGAATCTTATTTTAATAGTTTTCATGTCGTAATAAATGATTCAAGATTATTTTTTAATTTGATTAATTCATTGTGTTGGGTGTTGTGACATTATATATTGAATCTGATTTTTTTACAAAATTATATCCGGAAAACGTTACATAGAAACGCGTTCTTTTATAAAGCAAATAATTTATTAATGTAAAAAAGAAAGAAAGAAAGAAACGACTCCAAATGAAGGTGAAATATTTTCAGTGCGAATCTATGCTTAGGGCTAACACCTTACAGTTGGTATGTATGACCTGAAATGTATAGGCTTAACGGCGAGACTTCAAAGGCATAAGACGTGATAAAACTAACCATTTACAATTTTTATTGGCGTGAGAGGACATCAAACACAAAGTACACAAATAATGTGCAACAGTATTTCTTTGGTAGCAATTAAAAGAGTCCATACATTTTTGTGTGTAAATACAGATTTACAATATGAATTTCCTTTTGTAAAAAAAGAAATGATTTATTTGAATCGATTTGAGTAGTGTTTTGTTTTGTTGTTGTTGTTTTTTGTTTTTCAGATCGAAATTAAGGTTCTTTTGAAGAAACAGTTCAAATTTTGCACAGTATTACTGTAAATAATTTTAGTATGAAAAAAAAAGAAATAACGGTAGAAAAATGACAAAAGCAAAATATAATTTTCAAAAGCCAACCAGAGAAAGGAAAGGGACTAAAAGAAATCAAATAAAAACCTTTCTGGGATAGGCATATGTTATGTTTGGTATATCTTTCTGTGTAGTAGCAGTCGTAGCACAGTTCTCCGCGTTACGTTTAGCAAACGGGTTCGCTAGGCAATGTTCCTATGTTCACCAGTTGTTCTCTATTTATGCTTGTCTATCTCATTTGCATACGATAGTGCACCTCCCTGAATCGGAGAGGTCGTAAAGCCTTATTTTTTTTCTTTTACCAATCCTGATTATTCTCGTACTGTGCTGTCCGTCCTCTTGTCTTTCTTGTTTTCTCTTCAATGGTGATCTTGTTCCCTCCTCCTTCGATTTTTGCGTCTCTTAATTTTTTCGCTCCTGCAAATGCAGCAAAAGTTCTCATCCATGTTTCTATGTGTCCTGGGTCTTCCAGTGAATTTAAGGATCCTATCGGCGACATCATTGTTATGTTTGGTATAACTCTCTGTGTAGTAGCAGTCGTAGCAACGTTCTCCGCGTTACGTTCAGCAGACGGATTTACTAAGCAATGTTCCTATGTTCACCAGTTGTTCTCTATTTATGCTTGTCCATTCCATTTGCATACGATACTACAGAATAAAAACTCAAGTTCAGTCTAAATATCAACCCTTTCCAACAGACGAAGTAACTGTTCTGACCCTCACAGCAAATGACACATACACTGGGAAGAATCATCCCTGTTTCCTTCGTATTCCATTCGTAAGGAGGAAGTTCTACTGAGGTAGCTAAGAACCACTACCTTGTAGAACAGACTCCAGAATCATCATCAAGTATAAGATTAACAGTTATATTTCCTACATATCCTCATGAACTTCAATATTTACACCCTCCTCTTACGTGCATCAGCCTCCTTCAGTAACCCTCTACCTTGAGTGGATCTTGGGCTTTGAATCTGATGAACAATTAATAAAAAAGTATTAGAAGATTGTAATAATAGTAATAATATTAAAAATTGTAATATTAGTAGCAGAAGAACATTGGAATAGAATTAGAACCTTGACATAATATTAGTAGTAATAGAATCATGTGATTATAGTAACTGTATAACCTTGTAGTGAATAGTAGAAAATCTTTCAATAGTAATAGTAGTAGAATTTTGTAATAGTAATAAATAATGATTTGTTCATACGGCTTACCCACCCTTAAAAAAATAAACGAAATATATTTTGGATTGTAAGAATGATTCTTATTTTCAAGTGAATATTAGTCTTTGAAAATACAAAGAGCAGCTACGTGAAGACAGTCCAAGCAAATGTAGAAGAAAAAAAAATAGAACATGGATCCCGCATATTCTGGAAAATCCTAAACGCAACACACAATAGAGTCAAATCGTCCGTGCCCTCCTTTATAAATGGCCTTGAGATTACCTCATCCTCGTCGGACAAGGCTCAGCTCTTTGTTTAAACTTTGCCCCTAACACTATGTCAGACGTCAAAGACCATCCACCCCCGACAGAGCACTAGTTTTATGATATCTCTATATCGGCTGGATTTCCAGACTATTCTAATTCCTTGTCTTTACGAAGGATACTAGTCCAGATAAAATCCACGTAGTTTTTCACAAGAACCTTGCCTAAGAACTCCCTGTTTATGTGTTGCCCCCAAGAAGAAATGGAAGGTGTCTGTCGTGTGCCCCGTGTACATGAAGGGAGGTGAGCCTCCAACCCTGTCACAATATCGTCCATCAGCCTCCTTAGTGTAACTAATAAACTTTTTGAAGCTATCATCATCATGAAACCTAAAAAAAAAAAAAAAAAAAAAACCTCCTAAGCGATAAACAGTATGAAATTCGCACTTCTAGATCCACAACTGATATCTTAACTATTATCACGCATAGCATCATTGAAGCACTTGATGATAAAAACACCTCGAAGGTGATCGCCCTAGATATCTGATAACGTGTGGTGCAGGGGACTGCTAGATAAATCTGCCAGCTATAGAATCTCAGGGAGAGTCCTCTCAATTATCAGATCCTACCTGTCAGGTAGTTCTATGAAGTTCGTTGTCAATGGTCAATCCTCTGAGTCACATTAGATCAATGCTGACGCACCCCAAATCTATCTATCCTTTTTCTGCTTTATATTAACGATTTACCTCAGAGTATTCTCAGATCCTTAGTAAATAAATATGCAGATGATACCACGGTGTAGGGGTCCACCTCCAACTATCTAGATGACCGGTGTCCGGCAGCTGACCTCTTCTCTAACCAAAGAGGATGTTTCCTGAAAACTACAATCTAAGAGAAGGACTTCTGAATTCAAACCCCCTATCTATTGGTTAAATAATCTCACCAA